TGGGCTTCCCAGGCTCCAGAACTGTGATGAAATAAGTCTCTGTTCTTTGTAAAGTGCTCAGGTATACTGTTATAGCACTACAAAACAGGCCAAGACAAAATAGCTCCACCCTCATGACCTAATTATCTTCCAGAGGCCCTACCTCCTAATACCATTACACTGGGGGTTAGGATTTCAACATAATTTTGGGAATAAACAAACAGTTCATTGCAGACTGTCTGGTTTGTAGTTATAACCACAGAAACTAGATCAGTACCTTGTTGAAGTATGATCAAGGCATGCCAAAGATTATTACCCACGAATGGACTAGTAGTAAGTGTATTAGTCCATTCTTGCACTGCTATAAAGAACTACTTGGGACTGAGCAATTTATAAAGAAAAGAGGTTGAATTGACTCACAGTTCCACATGGTTGGGGAGGCCTCAGGAAACTTACAATTATGGCAGAATGTGAAGGAGAAACAGTCATGTTCTTCACAAGGCAGCAGGAGAGGAGAAAGAGCAAGGGCAAGTGCCACACTTTTAAACCATCAGATCTCGTGAGAACTCACTCACTACTATGAGAACAGCGTGGGGGAAACTGCCCCCATGATCCAATCACCTTGACACGTGGGGATTACAATTAGAGATGAGATTTGGGTGGGGACACAGAGCCAAACCATATCAGTAAGTGCTCAATATTTGTTGAATGAATGGATGAATTCCCCCTTCATATCTATGTCCCCAAAACCTAGAGAAGATGTGGGAAATGGTCATCTGAACCTGGAGGGAGAGATGAGGATCTCTGGCCCAGTTCTCCACAGCAAGTCTAGAAAAGCAGTTTTATAAAATGCCGGTGTACCTGCCACATGCCAGTGTACCTCTCCAAAGAGCAAAGCCCCATTAGGCGTCATTTCGGATCCTTTAGTTTCCTTTATGCATGAGATCAGAGTGTCCTATTAAGTGCTGAAATCAGATTAACAGCCCCTTCCTGCTCAGCCTACATTCTGTTTCTTTGGGGCTGACCTTGTGGAGCTAAACACTTTTTACAGGAGCAATGGAAAGGGATATATGAGAAGGGGAGAGGGGGGCTCTGTTTGAACAGGCTGGTGAATCCTGCATATTTTCTTGGCATCTAAGTCTGAAGAAGTGAGAGCTGGCAAGCAGCCTGCCCTGAGCAGGCCCTGAGAGGAGGCTCCCTGTGGGGATGTGGAGTATGGCCTGTGACCTCCCAGGAGGTGAGTGGTGTTTCATCACTGCTTCTGGGAGTGCTGGTTTATAGAGGTCCCTCCGATGTCAGCAGATCAGGGATTTGTGGACAGTAGGAGAGGGCTGAGTTAGCAACATAAGCGGGATGACACCTGGCCACATGCAGGGTGCAAATTGTATTTCTTTGTCAACACAGGCTATCGACAGCTCCACATTGACTCTAGATCCGGCAGTCACAGCAAGCAGGCTCCCTGCTGCCTCTTTCCCCAACACATTAAAACAAGCACAAAATATACCTTCCTTTTCCCTTCCACAATTATACTCCTGTCCTAACCCACCAAGACACTTTATTAAATGTCAGTTATAAAAATTTCAAAAAATAATTAAAGATAGCTTACATAGGGAATAAAAGGTAAAAGTCAATCAGCCTTAAGTATGAACCAGAAAATCAAAGGTTTAGCAAAGATAGGGCAGCAAAAATTCTGATACAATCTTTGTGATTATTATATTTGTCTCTGAGCTTCCTGGCAGCCTTAGCAAAAAGCCAAATATGATGGACTGGGTACTTGTGTTTAGCTGTAAGGAAAAACACAAGTTCAACTCCAAAAGCACAATTTTTGGAGCTAAGTTTTGAGAGATACCGTGTGTGAACATGCATGTGTGTGTGTGTATGTGTATATAAAATAGTTAATAGTCAATATATATAATATACGATAGTGTCTGGGAAAACAAGTTTTCAGCCAATGCAAAAGTGCTTTTAAGATAGTTCTTTTTTGCTTTGTCACTTAACAAAGATGGAAAGAAAACACAAAAGCCTTATTAAGTAAAGTAAAGTATTAGCAAAGACAGAGCCAGTATCATTGCGGGTATTTCAAGAAATTTTTCTTTTTCTTTATTTTCTTTTTTGGATAGCAGTTGTTTGGCTGGGGCTGAGAGAATTCCCTCTTCCAGTCAGCAGCACGTGCTTGGGATGCAGCTGACTGGGGATGGAAGGTTTTACCCTCTGGTCCACTGGAAACATTTACTCTAGCTCAGTATTAACGGAGCTCAGAGGTACAAAGGGCCAAGTAGGTTCTACAGGAAGCAAAGCTTTCCATCTCTTGCTGCCACCCTTCAAGCTCATTCTTCCTCTGACTGCATTTGCTGTGCATCAGGAGTTCATGATCTTATTTTAACCCCAGCATCAGTCCAGAACAATAGACAGTGTTTATTATAGCCATTGAGTATAACAGACCATTCCAGAAGTTATGGTGTGAAACAGCAACCATCCATTGGCCTAGAATCCTGCAATAAAGACTGGGATCACTGGGCAGCCTCTCTGCACTACACAATGGCTCCCCTTGTCATTTGCAATCAGCTGGTGGCCTGACTGGGGCTGAAGGATCCATGAGGGCCTCACTCACCCATCTGGGGCCTTTGTGGGGCAGCCTAAATAACTGGGGTCTTCTGGGCTGGGGAGGGCTGGCTGGGACTTCCTTAGTTAGGGAAAGAAGAGAGCAAAAGCAGAAGGCCTGGAACCTGCACAGGGTCCCTCCTGCTGTGTCCTGTTGTGTCAAGCCCAGACTCAGTGTGTGAGGTGGCCACACAAGGATTTGAACTTGGAGAGGTGAAATTCATGGGGCACCATTTGGTAGCAGTCATCCTCAGCCTCCTCCCATGAATACCTTAGTCACAGTAGGTGTTAGCTGGAGTCAGTTGGCAGGAGACTCACCTGAGGGTTGAGGAGGGAGAGAAGGGGACAGGTATTCCTGTCATGGGGAGGGGAGGGGATTTATATCAGGCCATTTGGAACTAGCCCAGTTCTCACTCCAAGTTCTGTGCACTCAGCACTTAACTACCACCATCAAAAGCCCAAATATCAGGCTTTATGAGCTCTATTTAAATTTTTCAAAAAGAATATATGAGAAATGGACCTTGGAAATGATAAAACAGTAAATGTTTTAAGAAGCCTCTTGGCAACGGTGCTTGAAGACCTTGTAAGTGTGAGACACACTGAGTTATGCTGCTCCGTGGCCAATGTCCTGACATTTGTGAGACAGCATTCCTCCCCAGTCAGCTGCAGCAGTCAGAGATCTTGAGGTCATTTTCATATGGGCTGCAGTGAGATATACAGCACGATAGTGGCAGCCCAGAAATCAGCTGAGTCTTTTCCAGGTTGGAATGAGGATATTGACAGCCCCCACCAGCCCTAGCTTAGGACAGGGGCCACACTTTTAAAAAGGATCACTTGAATGACAAGAAAGGCCATATGCTCACCACTTTTGCAGAAGCTGGAAACTTGGAAAGGCTGGATAAGAAAGACATTGGGTAATAAAATCAGGGGACAAAAACATTTTGACATCCAAAGAAATAGTGGAAATCTTAGAAAGGTTGACTAAATAAAAGTAAACATGAGATTCTTTGTTTTGACTCAAAGCAGGCACCCATATGTGCACACACACCTGAGAACCTGCACACGTGCCTGCATCCCCAGAGATGGGATGGAGGAGGCCTGACTTAGTAGCACCATGTAAAAATAATTTCTAAGTACATGTTACCAGTAAGCTTAATTTGAGACAAAAGGAATCAAAGTTGTTGTGATTTTAGATTATATTAACAGGAGCATAGATCTAGATTAAGGGAGGTGATTTGTTTCTTCTATTCTGTATACCCCAGTTTACTTTTAGAAGTATTAGGCCAACTTCTGCATGATATAAAGGGTTCAAGAAAAACTAACTAAATTAGAAGTTCAACATGATTAGAGAATTTGAAATCATGAGATATGAGGAAACACAAGGAGGAATTGAAGATACTTAACTTAGAGAAGTCCTTAGCCAAGACTTAAGGATGGGCTTCAACTCTAAAGCATTGTTATGTGGAAAGAAGGATTTGATCTGTCTTCTATGGCTCCAGAATAGGTTCCATTGGAGTCATGAGTGGAAGGTTGAGGGACCCTGGCACTTGGAGGTCAGAAGAAGGAAGAACATCTAATGGTTGAAGAGGCCCTCTAAGGAATGGATTGCACAGAATTCCCTTTCACCGCAGGGGCTGGATGATTACTCATCAGGGCAGACAGATGGACACTTGATTCAAAAGGAACTTTAGAATCCTGTCCAACCAACTCTGACAGCTGTCACGGGCTCTTGCCTTAACTGCTGTGGAGAACATAATGAATGCAGTGGCTGTGCCTTCTCTTGCTGAGGGGTCAGGGGCTGCTGCTGAGGCCAGTTTCTGTTTCATTTACAGTTATGAAGCAGAGGCATCAAATGCTTAGCCAGGCCCAGATCATAGGCGCAAACCAACGCCAGCTGCTCACATGGGCACGGCTGCTGGCCTTCCACTTCCTGGACAGATGGAGATCCAGGCAGAGGGTGGATCCTGGGTTAGGGTCTTAGCAGACAGAATGGGAACACCGATGGCGGTGGAGATCATTGGGAAGGAGGTGGCTGTACTGATGATGGCTTTTCACATCACTAGACCTGGTCTGAAAGTGGACTGTGCCACTTACAAGCTGCATGACGCTGGAGAACTTGATAAACTCTTTCGGGCTACTGTTTCCCCACTGGCTTGCTGTGAAGATTAAACAGACCATGGGTGCAGCGTCTATGACCTATCCATTGTTGAGCTTCAGGAAATATTGTTTTCTCTTCGATTTCTCCCTTCAAAACTGGGCCGTGCTGGTCACCGCGGGAAACACTGATGAAGACCGGGGGAGGGGAGTGGGTCCCCCAGCCTTTCTTTGGGGTCAGTTTACCCTAAAAGAGCGACTGCTTTGATGGCGCCTTCTGCCTCCTGACCTTCCTCCCACGCTAAGCTGCATTTTCTCCCTGACAGAGGAACTGAAGGAGAAGCTGACAGAATATGTGGACAAGGTGAACAGCCAGAAGCCAGGCTTCATCAAAGTCGTGCGCCACAGCAAGCAGGAAGGCCTCATCCGCTCCAGAGTCAGTGGCTGGAGGGCGGCCACTGCCCCTGTGGTGGCACTCTTCGATGCCCACGTGGAGTTCAATGTGGGCTGGTAAGTGCCCCTTGGGAGAGGAGGAGGAGTCCCGTTGGGATCTGTGGCTTCGGCTCCAATAGTGCAAAGCATGCTGGGATCTTAGCCATAGCCTAAGGAAAAGGAGATAATCCTGGGAATGGGTGAGATGTGGGGGTATGAGTGAGCAAGGCAACAGGGCTGGACCTTTAGGGTTCAGGGTGTGGTAGAGGGGAGGGGGTAGCCAGGGGTCAGTGGGTCAGCACACTGTACCTAATGGGCTGTTGACATCACATGTGACTGGCTGGCAGGGTCATCAGGAGAAGAGTACTTGCTAAGGGCAAAGCATAGAGTTCCTGGCTAAGGACAGGATTTCAACATTCAGGAAAGGAGAGCTGGGCCAGACATGAGGCAGAAGCCCAGCCTCACAGCCAAGGTCAACACCAAGTGGGCAAAGGTGGGCGAAGGTTGCTCAGTGTTGTCACAGGTGCCCTGGGCTTTTCCACTGCCAGACCAGAGGTAGCGTGTAATCTCAGATTTGCCCCATGGTGAAACTGTCTAAGAACATCTTTCTCTGATCAGAGCTGCTCAGATGCTGGGGGGAAAAGAACCCACCAGAAGGCCCCAGTGGCTGCAGCCAGCTAGGAATGGAGTGGCAGCTGTGGACCTCCCTGCAGGGCTGGAGGGCATAGTGCCACCGGCTGTGTGTAACTGCTTGGGCCTGGGAGACACGGGCACTGGCAGTGACCATGAGTGGCTGCGGCAAGTAGGTGACCACGCTTTGATCAATATGCCTTTTGTCACTGGGGTCTGCTCTCCTGCTCTCACCATGTTCCATAGTGCCAGCCTCCCGGGAGTGGGAGAGGAGGGCACTTCAGCAGGAAGGAGCAGCCGGGTGCACACACAGCCTGGGCTGGATGCTGCCACAACAGGCCCAAATTAAGGCTGTGCTACAGCCATTTTTTATAGCTGAAGTCCCTGCCTGCCATTTGTGACTATTTAAACAGCATTTTCTTTGGATTTATGGCCAGGATAGGAGAGGGACACTTACTATTTCAAGCTGATTTGAATAAACAATTATGCACCAAATGTATTATTAATGAGAAGCTTATCATTCCTGTCTGCAAACACATTATTTGCCTGGTGCCTGCAGGGGCCTCCTGTTGCATCCCGGCTCCCTGGGAAAGCCCAAATGCCCCACCCCTCCTTGGGTGGTTGGGGAACCCTTTCGGGGGAGGATGTGGAACAGCTGGCACTCCAAGGCAGCGTCACGTGGCTGTGGATGTAGGTTTGTTCTCACCTCCTTGTCTCTGCTGTCCTCATCTGTCTGTTCCTCCAGGTTGATACATAGAATTTTAGCAAAATCAAAGCCCAAGGTGAAAGCTTCTTCTGGAACCTCGGCTCTGTTTCTTTCTTCTTTTTTAAGTCTTGATTTTTTTTTTCTATGGGAGAAAGGGAAAGTGAGCAGGCACAAGGCTGGCTGGAATAAGAATCTCTCAGCTCAGCTCTGGATATGCCAACAGAGTTAGGGAGCCTCTTGCCATCCCAGAAGTCCTCAGGGGACAGGGAGTTGAATAGGGGCTCCTTCCCAGAAGGCAGTGCACCTCTTCATCAGAGGAGATGGCCAGGCGTTGCTTCCTCTTTCTGCTGGGGAAGGACCTTTGGGAGATGCTACTCTGGATTTTTCCAGCTTAGAAATGGTTACCCCCTCTCTGGCTGTCTCCTCTCCGTCCAGGGCTGAACCCGTACTCACCCGCATCAAGGAGAACCGGAAGCGGATCATCTCGCCATCCTTCGATAACATCAAATATGACAACTTTGAGATAGAAGAGTACCCACTGGCTGCCCAGGGCTTTGACTGGGAGCTGTGGTGCCGCTACCTAAATCCCCCCAAGGCCTGGTGGAAGCTGGAGAACTCCACAGCTCCAATCAGGTAAGGCAAATCTTTACCTGCAGGTCTCTTTACCTGCAGGTCTCTCTGCTTTGGCCTCCAGGCTGGTGACCCCCTACTACCCCAACCTGTATTCTCCAACTTGAGCCCCATCATGGGGATAACGGGGTGGGCAGGGCAGAAAGGAACTGCAGTCTGATCTTCAGTCACTGCCACAGGCTCTGAAGATCTCAGAGTCCATTCACAGCCTGAGTTGCCCATTTCCACACATCACTATGAGACACCTGCTGGGCGCCGGCCACTGCTCCAGACTGGCGATCCAGAGCCATCGAGATTTGGTTCCCTCTCCCAAACGCCTGGACTCTAGTGAAGACAGACAAAATCACTGGGATAGAAACATTATTCTACCCTGAAGGCAGAAACTGCACTGAAAGTGGGGAAATGCTTTTCCGAGGGTGGCATTTTCACTTGTTTTTGAAGGCAAGCAGGAGATGGCTAGGTTGGGGAATGTACACCTCTATGCAAAGCTCATGAATGCAGAGAAGGTTCAAAGGGACTAGAAGCGGGAAGTGAGCCGGCAGTCCCCAGCAGTGAGGGTGGAGGGTGGAGAGGCAAGAGCCCGCCCCACAGGACAGTGTGTACCTTGACAACATTTGAGTTTCATTCTGTAAGACTCAGATAGAAGTGACTTCATACCGCATTTCAAAGGTCCCAAGTTCTTTCCTGCCTTTGCCGCCATTTTCCTAGACACATGAATGACTCCCCTGTGCAGCCTCTGCTTTTAAGGTTCTGGACTTTTCCAGCAGCTATCCCTGCTAGTTTTGATTTCTGTCCATGTTGATGATAAGGTAGGTGTCTTTATGCTCCCTGCAAAGTCTCACCCATTACGAAACAGAAGACACCAGAAGGTGGCCTAGGGTACAGTTTTTGGAACGAAAGGGATTAGCTCATGTTGCTTTGTATTACATGAGGGAGAAAGGGTGTGGAAAATGTAATTGAAACTCAGCAGTTATTGCTTAAGATCACATTTCTCCTTGCCAGAAGAAAAAATATATATGCAGACTTAAAACAGGATAGGAGAAAACAGCACCCCATTTTCCTGAAGGTACCTGTTACCATCTCTGCTTGGCTCCTGCCACAGTTCTGTGTGTTAAACATTTGCGGAGAGTCTGCTATGTACAAGGGTCTCTTACATGCATGGACTCATTCGATCGTCACTGTAACCTGTTGACAGCTCGTGTCTTATCCCTGTTTTACAAGATGAGGAGAGCAAGACTGAAAGGGGAGAAATGTCCTGCCAAAAGCTCTGGGCGGTGGAGCGAGGATCCACCAGGGCAGCTGGACTCAGTGGCCAGTTTTCACCCCTCTCAATGTCCGCTGTTGAGCTCAAGACTGGTGTAACTGTTTTCTGCTCCTAGGTCTGATGAATGCTGTTGGGGGGAATATGCCCCCATGCAGTGGGCATTCCTGCAGAAGACTGCATTGACATTAACTGTTTCTGTTCTGCTCATCTCTAATTGTACCAGCCCAGTCTTAATCGGCAAGCCTGCATTCCAGCTCCTTGCCGGACAATGTCATGACCATCGCCCAATTTTTATCAAAAACTTGGTTGAGGGAAATAACTTTTATGAAAGACTTTTGGAAGAACATTCCTGGTTTTATTCCCAGAAGAAGACAGCTCCGCCGAAAGCTGTGATTTATGCAAATGTGTCTTGCCCATCTGAGCTTTCTTTTCTTTCAAGCTGTACTTTAGTGCTTTGTCCACACAAGGTATAAGCCATAAAAAGAGCAGAGCAATATCTTCTAATGTATTCCAAAGGGATGTCTTTGCAATGGCTGTTTGCTTGGTCCCCAGGGGACCCTGTCAAGAAAGTCCATGTGAGAAATTTCTTTCAAACTAACTGCCAGTCAAAGAAAACCTTGCTTTTCCCCAGGAATCAATTAATATGACATCTCCACATGAGAACTGTACATTTTGCTTCTAAGACCATGTACGTTTATTTCCACTTTGACCAACAGGAAACTCAAAGGCAAGTTTTCATGTCAACTTTAAGAACAATTGAGACGGGACCTTGGTCTGCACATGCATTCCAATTTGTTGCAATCTTTAGGTCTTTCTAGACATTTATCTGTTGATGGTTTTCTATATATTTTAAATTTTCTCATAAGCGATTTTTCATCCTTATAGGAATGAGGCAAGATGTAAATCAATAACCCTTTCATGCTGATAGAATCCACTTAATATTCTAGCCGGTTAATAATAAACCACCGAGGTGGCCTATGCTCACCTCAGAGTATCTGTTTCAGATTCTGTTCCTTCCCTGGCTTGAACTGGCAGTTTGAGAAGGGTCCCTTCCTTCCCATGTGCCCTGTCATGTCCAACACTTAGGAATGCAGAGGCAAATGCCAAGAACTCACTCCACTAGCCTGATGTTTCTGAATCATCCTGCATTTAGAGAGGGGATCCTGTAGACTCCAGTGCATGATTGCATCTTTTTAAATGACCTTTTGAGCCAGTTATGTCCCAGAGGCTCTCAAGTGCTTTAATTTTTAGTTCACATGAGGTTAGAATGGATCCTATGCTACAGATATGGAATCCTAGGCTCGGAGAAGCTAGGGAACTTCTCTTAGAGACATGCAGCCAGAAGGGGGGATTTTTCCCTAGGAATTACCTCTAAGGCCTGGCTTCAGTTACCTCCACCAGAGCAGGGTCTCGGTCTGTTTTAGGAGCGGCAGATTACCTTCCCAGGATGCCTGCAGGTCTATGAGGATGAAGCCATTTAGAATAAAATGCAGTGATTTGAAAGGAAGAGAGACAGTGGCTCCAGGGTGCCAGTCTCTGCTTGAGCAGCCTCCTGTATCAGCATTCCCCAGGGAAATGGCCTGCAAAATCGCCTTTTCTCCACCTTGATAAGTTTCCATTTTCAAAGATGGGTTCATTTACATGTGATTGACTGACAGTTTTCTCATCCCTGAGGAGCCTTCATTTCTCCTTTTATTCCCCACTCCCACCAAGTCTGCCAGCCAGGCAAGGGCTAGAAATGGTGGCAATATGCAGTAGAGCAATTCAACGTCACTGCATAAGCAGTGCTCTCAGCAGAGAAGCAGCCCCATGTTCTCATGCTGACACCTCATGTGAATCGTTCTCTGTGAGGTACTGCACTGGGTGTCTGCACGTAGCTGGTGAGACCCAAGCTCACAGCCCACGAGGAAGGAAAAGCCTTCCAGCTCCTGGACCCCATAGCTGTTGGCAGGTTGTTCCAGCCTAAGACCCCTGTTGAATTTCAGACCCAGGCCATCTAGCTAAGCTCTGCCTGTTGGATATCTCCTCCTGGTGTCACACAGGTACCTTAAGATCAGTTTTCCCATCACCAATGCTTCTTTCTTTTGAAACCAACTTCTTCTATGCCCCTGGTATTAATGAGTGGCCCTCAAATCACTGTTACCTGAGCCAGAAAGCCAGATGGCATCAAGCTTCCTCCCCCTTTCTCACCCTTGTGTAGTTTACCTCTTTTGAAGTTCTGCTGATTTCACTTCAAAATATGTCTTTAAACAATTCCCGTCTCTGTTCCTGATACTCTGACTCCGCTCTCCATCATTTCTCACCTGGATACAGCAATGCACTTCCCAGCTGGGCTCCTCCATTCTCACCCCTTCCTCTCTGGTCAGTCACCCACAGCTGCCTGACTATTCTTTTTAAAAACATGAATCTGCTCACACCACTATCCTGCTTAAAATTCCTCATGGACATCTATTTACTTACATATAAAATTCAAATTTTTTACTCTGCTACCCAAAGCCTTTTACAACCTGGTCCCAGCTGATCTTTCTAAGTGGACCAAGGATAACATACAGATCCCAAGTTAAGGAAGGGTGACAAAGCTGGTATGCGTTCCCAAGCAGGAATGGAGACTGGCTGTGCAGAGGTCAGGATCAGGGCAGCTAGCGATACAGTCAGTCTAGACTGGCAGGCTGAGCACCACTTCTCAGGGCTAACACACACACAAGCACCACCCTGGTAATAGCCTATCCCAGGATGGCAGCTCTCTGGCCACTGCCCTGACTGAACAGCCTTTCTGGAGTGGTTGGGTAAGGCCAGACCCAGGGGCCACTCCAAGAACAAGACACACTGGCTCTGGCAGCAAAGGAAGGAAGAGAACCAGATCCTCCTGATAGGAAGGCCCTACTGCTCTTACTCCTGGGACAGCCCCACCAGACAGCCTCTCTGCTCACCACTGGTCCTTCTCCACTTCCCCTGCAGGAGCCCTGCCCTCATTGGCTGCTTCATCGTGGACCGGCAGTACTTCCAGGAGATCGGCCTGCTGGACGAAGGCATGGAAGTGTACGGGGGCGAGAATGTGGAGCTTGGGATCAGGGTGAGTGGGGTTTCTCACTCAGAGGGCTTGGCTCAGCTCCCACCAAGGTGAATGAGTCTAGGGGTGGAGAAACAGGGCTCACGGTTGAGAGTAACAAACTGATTCTGAATGTCCGGTCCTGAACCCTGGGCCGCATGTGTGTGATTGGGATGGAAAGACACAGGGTGGAGCCTCTTGACTTTTCAGGGAGAAGAGAACTTCAGAACCTGCTTGGCTGGGTGTGGGAGCATAGGAGAGTTAAGCTTCCGACTCAAAGGAATAGCGTCTTTTAAATTTAAACTGAGGCCCATCAGAGTGAGCAAAAGTGTGCTCCAGGAAGCAGTAACAGACATCCAGGGTGGCTGGACAAGAGTGACCCTGAGTCAGTTCCCCTTGGGATTTCTCACTCTGACATTCTGTCTTCTCCACAGTGGCCCAGAGAACATTCCCAAAGACTTTGTTAAGAGAAAGCCCAGGGAAATGTAAACAGCAAGATGTGTCCATCTTTACAAGGGTATATAAACAGTAAGATGTGTCCATCTTTACAAGGGTGTGTAAACAGCAAGATGCAGCCAGGCTCACTGCAGGCTGCTTTCCCACCTCAGGCTGTAGCCAGACCTGCAGCCCGTTCCTGCCTCACGACATTCTCCTGCCCCAACGTACAGGGTTTTTTCCAGCAATCAACTCATTGTGTGGCTTCCAAGAGGCTCTGTGTTTTTTCTCACGTTATGGGAACATTTCCTAGGCTTTCTGGCTCTTTCCCCTTGGCTTGTGAAAACACAACCTATGTTAAAGCCGTCTCTCCTATCCGAGGTTACTGTTAGGTCCCCTGGTGTTAGGCAGGAATGTGATGATGGATACAATGAGGGCTCTTGTCCTAGAAGGAAGCCTGCCCACCTCTATGACCAGGGGGTGTCCCTGGCAAACCCAGCATTGGAGCTGCAAGGTGTCCTCCCCCAGCTGTCTTCTCCATGGGGAACTCTCAGCAGCCAGCCACCCCCACATGCTGTAGGCTTGACGATGCTGGAGAAAACCCTGTGCCTACTGGTGTCCATAGGGCTCATCAGAGAGACTCTACCTCACGCCAGCCTGTTCACACATCTGTGCAGACCTCATCTGGCTGATTCCACCTACAGTCCCTACTCTGGCACCTTTGGCCTTAGTGTCTGCATCAGCGGTCTCCAAATCTTGATTCTAATTCCCACTGAAGGATTGCAGCGTGGATGCACCCTCCTCTCACCTCTAACCTCCTTCAACCTCCCACCCCACCAGACAGGCAACTGGCCCTGGATAGCCCTTGCCCCTCACCTGAGGGGGAGAGTGGGTGCTCACAATGAGTATCTTACAATGTCTGCAGTGACCTGACAGGCACTGCATGGGGCCCAACTCATCACCCAGACTTAATACTAGGGCTTTGAAGACTGGCCATATGAACAGCCTGTCTGAAGCTGAGCTTAGAAAGCACTTCCAGACACCTGTGTTCACTGAAACCCTGAGAAATTGCTTTGGAAGCAGTCAAAATGCATGGGCTTATTGGGGAGCTAATGTATTCATAGAGGACAGCCCCTACGTAATCACCCTGGTTTCTGCAGCTCTCTCTACATCGGCCATTTATTCCCTATTTGTGTCCTCACCATCTCATTTCAGCACCGCTCCTGGATAAATGCTCACCCCAAACATAATATTTTTCATGAGGAGCTGCTGTAAGGAATTGTCTGAGTGGGTCGGACCGCCTCCATTCGCTTGTGTTCTCTGGGTAAAAATGTGCAGGAATGGAGAAAGGAATTAGATTTGTGAACTCTGCTTCCAATATGTTTGTGTGTCAATCACACAGTGGAGATTTCTGGCTTTTCCTTCCTTAGATTATAAAGTTATAAAGCTATTCTGGAGTGTGGCCTGGGTGAGGCTCTCAAATGCAAGTTAAAATGTCTTTGGGTGGTTTCGTGTACAGAGTTTAAAATACAGTTTACAATGTTATCTGTTTTTTTCTCTCCCTCCATCTCTTCCCTCTCAGTTGACAGAGAGGAAGTGTCATTGGAGTTGAAAAAAGGGTGGCATTTAAAGCAGAGACCCAACAAGCTGTTAGCTGGCAAAACTGAGTACACACGGGAGGGATGAGTTCATTTGAAGTCCAGTTCCCCCTTCAAGGGTTACCGAACCACTGGTCATCGCCAAAACCGATTTTCTCCTTTTGTATGGTTATTAGTATTTGTCTTTCTTTCGTGTTTTGTGAGTTAGCTTCTCAGTGCTTCCATTTCCTCATCTATAAAGTAGCATGCCTGCCCTAATTATACCACAGGATTGTATATAAATATAAAAGGCATCACTTTTCACCCTTTGCTTGAGCAGAAGTCAATTATTCAAAATCCTTATCTGTTTGGAACACAGAGAGTTGTTTGCACAATTACTACATGTCTGCTTTGTGCATGGGTTATACTGACACTCATGTCGTCCATCCACAAAACACCCTAAAAAGACTATTACTGTAATAGTGGTTTTTTTCCAGACGATACTGTGAAATTAGGAGCTTACATATATTCTTAAGGTCATGTACCTCGTAAGAGGTAGCAAAAGGATTCTGCCCCAGATCTCTATGACTCGAGGACTAGACAGATATACCACAGTGATCTAGGGATAAAAGTACTTTGCAAACTGTCTTATAAAAGATATTGCAACATCTATGCAGTAATTTTCTTCTACTTTATTCACAATTATGTCTACTGAGTACCTATTTAAAGCCTTACTCTTATTTTGTACTCTGACTGTTTTTTTTTTTTTTTTTTTTCCGATTTGTAAGTCAGCAACACAATGAGGAAAAGGAAGGAGCTGTTATGGCCAAGCACAATGAAATAAGTGAGAAATAAGAGCTGACATTGCATGGAAAACAGAAAGATTATATAAATGATCATTGTAAAAGTGCTGGAATGTGTAAGAAAAGATTTAAGGGCTGGCAAGGGATTGGAATTATTAGTTGGTTTGAATTGAGTGCCCCCCACCCCAGTATGTCCTAACCTCCTGTGAATGTGATCTCGTTTGGAAATGGGGTCCGTGTAGATGAAGCCAAGTTAAGATAAAATTGTAATGGATTAGGGTGGGCCCTAATCCTACATGACTGATATTCTTATAAGAACAGAAAAATTTGGTCACAGACAGACATAAAGGAAAGACAGCCATGTGAGGGTGGAGGTAGATATTGGAGTTATGATGGCAAATGCTCAGGAACCCCTGGGGCTATTGAAAGCTGGAACAGGCAAAGAAGGAGCCTTCCCTTAAGTGTCTGGAGGGAACACAGCCAGTCAATATGTTGCTTTCAGAGTTCTGGCCTTCAGAACTGTGAGAGAATAGATTTATGCTGTTTCAGGTGATCCAGATTGTGATACCTTGTTATAAAAGCCCCAGGAAACCGACACAGGGACCAAAACAGTAAACTGAAGTAGGAGCCTAAAGAGAGGTTGAGGCTACTCTATTTGGAGAACCTGGTGACATTTAAGTTTATGTTTTCCTCAACTTCATAGAATAGAGAACAGAAAGCCTCAGGCTTGCCTTACTTCTCATAAAGCTGGGACTCCAAAGGCCTGTTTTCTCATATAAAATAGAAATCCTCTCTGGAGAAAGAGCCTTTTAACCCAGGCCACACAATTCCCACAGGGAGAGTTTCAAGGAATATGAATTCACAGTTTTAAAAAATCATAAAACAGACAAGGGAAAAAGAAAGTAACAGGAGAAAACACCAGCAAAATCTGTGGATGGCCAAATCAGATCTACAAAGTCTTCAACTGTTGAATCTATCAGACACAAAATATAAAGTAGGTTATATTATACATTTAGAAAAATAAAAGAAGATATTGAAAATATGAATAAGAAGCATGATACTCTAAAAATAATCAGTCATAGTAGGATAAAAATGGAATTTCAAACATGAAAAATGTAAAAATGGCAATTAAAAGCTCAATGAATGGGCAGAATAGCTACATGGACATTGTTAAGGAATAAAATTAAGAAACTGGAAAATAGATAGAAAGAAATCATTCAAAATCAGCCCAAAGGACCCAGAAAAAATTGTGAAAAAATACTGAAAGACATGTAGAATTGAGATTGTGGATGTAATATCTTAAAATTCCAAATGGAGATGATCCTTTTTTTCCAGTGAAGATTTCTATTTCGTACCGAGAAAACAGTATGGAAAGTTAGGCAAAAAGCATATTTAAATAAATGATGGCTTAAAACTTTCCCAAACTGATAAAAGACATCAATGTTCAGACTTAAGAAATCATCCCATCCAAAGCAAGGTAAATACAAAGATATCCTCATTTAAATGGAACATACAGGAATTACAGAATATCAAAGGCAAAAGATCTTACAGCAGTCAGAGAGAAAAGATACATGACCTGAAAGTCAATAATAATTAGAATAACCGCTGACTTTTCAACTGTAACAATGAGAGTCAGAAGACTATGATATAATGTCTTCAATATACTGAGAGAAAATAACTGTCAACATGTAAGTGTATGCCCAATAAAAACATCATTCAAAAACTAGGATAAAGCTAAGTCATCTTCAGATACACAAAAACTGATAGCATTTGCCATTAACAAATACTCACTAAAATAAATTATGAATTATACACTTCAGGCTTAACAAAAAAGATCCCAGAAGGAAGTCTGAGACAAAAGAAGCTGAATAACCTCAAAAAGTGGTAAATATATGAGTACATATAAAGAAATATTGACAATAAGTAATATAAGAGTAGTGTCTTATGGAGTTATTAAAACTGTAATGTATATGACAGTAGCATATAAGTTGGGAAGGAGTGATGGAATCAAGATGTTCTAAAATGCCTACATTGTTAATGAGGACAGAAAGCATATTGTTTAACTTTAAATTTTGGCAGCTTAAGTAAATATGTTAGAATTTCCAGGGAAGTCATGAAAATCACAAATATAGAAAGTAAAACTTCCAAAGTAGTGGAGGAAAAAAAAAATAAAGTGTTAAAGTATTCGGCAAGAGGGAAGTAGAAAGAA